CCACGCAAGATATCGTGCGAGCTTCACCTCGTCGTCGTCGACCAGATGAGCTGGTTGCACCGAGCACGATCGCAAAGCACTAAAAGACTTTAGAACTAAAGACCAACCGGTGGCGGGAAAAAGACTTCATTTTTATGCTTTCCCAAGATTTTCGATTAAAATACAGTTCTTTGACGTTCTTTACGCTAATTATCCGGAAAAGACTTAGGACTAAAGACCAACCGGTGTGGATGCCCTAAGCGCTTCCCATTTGGTTTGTTGACAGATTCTGTCCACTAACAGTACATGCCATTGAAAGTCGTCACCGCGTCCCGCGGATCGCACTCCTGCCCCCGCCTGCCTAAATCAAGTTCCTCAACCGAGTACACACAACGAAAAAAGTCCGACAATTTTATTTAGCATAGTTTTATCTATTGTAATAGAAGACCCACTTCAACAACAACATTCCATTGAAAAGTGGGGCTCTACATGTTATACTGCACATGGATATAGATAGATAGATAGATAGATAGATAGATAGATAGATAGATAGATAGATAGATAGATAGATAGATAGATAGATAGTAAACTCGCATTGCTCAGCACGGCAGTTCTGGCATCCTCCATGCAGGAGCCCTTGGGCAATCAACTGTGCACTAAGATGCACTTGAAGAATTCGATAGAGTCGCGTGGGCAACCGGGAGCAACCGCTTCTGTCGGCTCCGTCCGCACTGCGGCCATCAATCGACTAACGTCCTCACCGACTGAATTTTCTCGTTGTTGCGTTTTCTCAGTCCACGAGAGCGGTTTCCATGCCAAAGAGCGCGTCAAGCACGCGTCGAAAGAGTAGATGGCTGTCAACACACGGGACAAGTGTAGTACGTCGCATTAAACGCGTCTAGGACGCCAGATCCAAGATGGTTTCAATCTCCTTGGGCGAGTGCACGGCAATCGTCGACGGCTGGGCGTAGCCCATGACGGGATCAAACACAAACGCGTGGATCGCTTTGTACGCCTCGCAGAGGCGGCGAGCGGCTCGTGCATACGCTTCGTCGCGGACGTCTGGTTGCGAGATGCGCTCAATGGCAGGGAATTCGAGCGCCATGAGCAGCGAGCAAAAGTTGTGCACGGTGATGCGGACGCTGTCGACGTCGAGGCCGGGCATCGTGCTGCCCGCCTACAAACGAGCACATATATGACAACTTGTCCATCGTCTTTGTCAAAGGTACTGTACCTCGCGCACCGCGGCCATGTGTTCGAGGAGCGTCGAGACAGCGCACCGCTGCAGCACCACCGAGGCCTAGAGACGACCTGAACAGTGAAACCCTAGCCCTACCCACATGTCGCACCTGCGCGAGGGCCAGAGCATCGATACTGGCGTCAATGTCGCGCGAAAGCTCGGCGCACCACTCGCTTGCAAGCGCCTCGTAGCGCGACAAGGTTGCCTAGAGCACGTGGTATACCATAGATGGACGATATCGCGGTTGCCATACGTGCACGCAGCCGAGCTGGTTGAGCTGGAACACGAGTGCGTCGCTACGGTCGGCATGGCGTTGCTTGGAGGATGCAGAGAGCGCGACAAGGAAGCATTCGATGACGGGTGCTACATCGGCGGCTTGGGCCCCAAACGGGAGCAGCGCGCTTTGGTAAATGTCGAGCAAATTCGCCTAGCACCCGTTTAAAATCCAATAAAAATCAAACGATCCTCGACGAATGAAGCCTACGAGTTTGTGCGTCGTATCAAGTGTTGCGTGCGCAGCGACGAGGGTAAAGTCCGCGCGGTCTTCCTATTCCAGGTGCATTTCCTGCCGTTGGCTCAAGCGTTTTTACCTCCATGGCCGCTTGAAAGAGGTCGACTTGGTGCTGCCACTGCTTCTCAAAGCTCGTGCGGGCACGGGCGAGTGACCTACGATGCCGTATTCATGTATTGCTTCGCACGACGTCGTCGCCGCATCCTACTCGACCAGCACGGTGCTCAGCTCGGCGTCTTGGGGCACGAGCTTGGCCATGGTGACGCAGTAAAACCCGAGCAAGTGCACCACTTGGTACACCACAGGGCACGCGGTCTGGCCCGTGAGCGTCTGCTGCAGTCGCACCTGTACGTACGTGGTGTCGTTGGGACTGACATGCATGGTGGATCGTGGCGTAGGGTACCTCGAGCGGTCGCGCGATGCCTGCAAAGGCGTGGCCCACGAGCCGCTGCGTCTCGCCGGCATCGGCTCCGTCCAGCAAGACCTAATGCTGCACGTCAGCGTACATCCGACATATATGTGCTTTGATGGCGCGTACTTTAAAGTACTCATGCTCGGATGCGATCGCTGCGTGCACCCAGGCGAGCATGTCACCTGCGTACCGGACCGGGTCGTGCGAATGGATCTCAATCGGGCGAGGAATGCCATTGGGACCACCCCGTGTCAGCGCAAGGACAAAGCGGCGCAAAATCGCACCGCGCCGAGCACG